TATATATATATGTATGTATATATATTTATATTTACATCATTTTTCATTTTCGTACAATGTCTGCTTTCTCATCCTGGTCATAGTAGCCTGAAATTCCCACCAGCAAGTCAGTCACCACAGCCCCGTGTGCTCACCCCACCCTGCTTTCATCCTACTCCCCTCTGGCCCCCTGGAACATTTTTTTAGAAAAAAGTAGACTTAAATTTGTAAGTATATTTGAAATGAGACTGTAGACTTGTTTGTTAGAGTCAAACACTCACTAGTTTAAAAGGAACTAGAAATATATAAAATGTTTACAGAGAAAACATAGGTTGGAAGTTTTAAGTATTTAAATTTAAGTCAATTTTATCTTTCATATTATTTCTCATGGACTACACATGTTAACAAGAAATATTTAACCTAATTGTTTGAATACCTTCATTGTTCTGCCTTGGACTTTAAATGCATCCTGTTATCTTTAAGAAACCATAGAAAATATACCAGAATAAAAATGCCAACATAATCATGTTCTGCACTTCTGTGCAATGAGAAATCAGCAGTGTGCTAAGTGATGGCATTTTGGGCTTAGTACCAAGAATAAAGGGGTGATGCCATACTGAAATGTGGACTGTAAATGAATAAATGTGACCATGAAGGATCTTTCCATTTCAAGGGTGCTTTTAAGAAAATCTTACTAATGCAGACAAATCCCCACTTTAGTAAGAAAATAAATATCTAAAAACATTCCCACAACAAAAACAATCCATTTGGAGGAGTAGATTTGGTATGATATTAGTTTCTGGGATCCATTCAAAAATCAAACTTATTTGGCAGTTTCTTCTTTGGATATGAACATCACTTAACCATTTAAATCTTTGGGAAAGGCCTTGATTCTAGAATCACCTGTGACTTAAGGGAGGAAATGGTGTCCTCAAGTTCTTGTCTCAGAGATGCTGGCATCAACCCTTTGAATTTTGTTTCATATTCTTGTCGTATGTAAGTTATCTAAAGTGAAACAAAAAGAAAGATTATACACACACACATACATACATACATACACATATATATATTTACTTCAGAAAGATGACTGTTGTTAATATCGACTCACCATAAAGGTATAAGGTGTTTACATGTGGCAGAAGACTAGACAGTAAAGATGAGAGGAAACAGTAACAAACTGAAAAAGGTACTTTTTAAATGAAATTCCTATGGTTTACCCACTAACATGGGGAACTTATGAATCTGAGGGAGGGCCTGTCACAATATCTTTTTCTTTAAAATCCTGTTAACACAATTTTCAGCACTGGGTCAGTAAAATATGTGCTTTCTCTTCTCCACTCGTAACATATGCTAACACTGTATTCTTTTCCTGGTCAGGATATGGGCTGTTAGGATTATCCTAACCTATGACTTGAAGATAATTCATGGTGTGTCATGAAAACACTCTCCAAAAATGGGTGGGTTTCTGGATGGCTCAGTATTATGTATATAGTTATTATGATACGAATGAAGAAGAATCTACACAGCTGTGTCTCCATGTTAGTTATGTTAGAGTTAAATCAGTCCTTACTTAAAAATAACTAAATAAAATATACATAATAATATATCAAATGTGTTTACATAGAGACCACTTAAATTGTCTAAGTATACTCAACACAGGAACCTTCTCTAGTCCATGGGTTTCCCTCTGCCTCTAGCATACACTTGGGTCTGTGCTCAACTGACGAACTGGAAAAGGGAAGGTTAGTGACTCAATTCCATTCATGGTTGTGACTATAGATGGTCATGAGTAAGGAAGGGGGAAGAAAGTCTTTGGGAGAATATGCTGTGTGAGATGAAGAGATGCTTGGATTTGAGTGTGTGTGTGTGTTTTGGAGCCTTGCTCCAGTTATGTTTCTGCATTTCTTTACATCCTAATATGAAATGTGATGAAATTAAAAATGTTACATGTACCATATGACTTAGCTGAATATTAAAACTAAATTGCAGTCTAGCCCATAAATGATTCATTGGACACACCTGGAAATAGGTAATTAAACTCTGACAATATATGCAACTGAATTCATTTAGACAAGTCCATGAATTTACTGGGGATAATTGAAGATCACCAGCCTTTAAATCCCAACTTTTCTTTGACTAAGATGAATTAAGGAAGAAATGTGTTCTAATAGCTTGTTTCACTACCTAGTAAAATCCTATGGCAAATCCTCTAGAATATAATTTTTGGCAAGGAGATTTTTGAGCTATATTATCACTTTGTGATCTACATCTAAAGCAAAAACAGAAATAATTGATGCAATATTTGTTGATGCTCACATCTGTTGCATTTCCCCACCTTCTTTTCTTGGACTTAACCCCAACAATTATATCTGCAGCTGACTTAAATAAAAGGCAATTGCAAAGTAAAACACATGTTTTACAAATCAGACCTTAAGGGAAACATCAATTGAGAGGTCACAAGTTACTACAGTAACAACATTTTTTTTTTTATCACTTAATACTGGCTCTGTAGTTTTGAACCACTAGATGTGTTCTATTCCTCATGGCCTATTTGTTTGGAATGTCTTCTCACTGCCTGTGCATTTGAAAGACAGCTTTGCTGGGTATAAAAATGCCTCAATCCCACTTTCAGAACTTTGGGGATATTTCTTCAATGCTTCCTGGCATTACATGTAATTATGGGGAAGTCTGAAGCCAAAGTAATTGTTTTTCCATGTTAAATGTGACTTTTGTTCGATGCCTGTCTTTTTGTTCGATAATTGTCTTTTTCTTTGACCCAGTAGCTTCACTGGAATGTTTTAGTATTCATTATTCTTTATCAATTTTCTTGAAACATTGTATATGTCCTTTCTATTATTGAATTCAATTTTCTGAAAAAAATGTCTTCTTTTAGCATAACTGTATTAGTTGTACATATTCACATTGTATTTAAATTGTTTTCCCTTTGGTCTCTTCTTCAGAAACACAGACTTTGCATATGTTGGCTCTTTTTTGGACAATCTTCCATAACTACAACTTTCTTAATTATTACTTTTATTCTGTTATAACTTTATGTCTGTTTTATACTTTCATTTCATTTTGTGTGATTTCCTTTACCCTGGTCACCATATTCCCTGGTTATGAATTTTCTATTTTTGTTTCCTGTAGGTTTCAATCTCTGTAAACTTCTATTCTATCTACTATTTCCCCTAAGTTCTAAGAAAACATTTTTCATCTTTGTCTAGTGACTTAAATCACCTTTAAACATTAAACATTTATTTCTTACTCTTTTTTTTTCTCCACTTTTTCCTTGAGAAAGATATACCAATTTTTTGTAAAGATTTATTTATTTGTGCATACAGAACTGGGGTACAGGCCTGAGGCTCAGGGGGGAGTGAGAGGCTTCATCAGAGACAGAGTGGGGAACAGAACAGGCAGATTTACGAGGTACACTGCTGAGGGGAGCAGCGGGCGGGTCAGGAGAGGTCTGCC